CTTGAGGTTGTGAACCAACAGCTTTGCTTTTTCACTTAAGTGAATTATACAGTATGTATGTAGCCTTTCAAATTTGCTTCTTGTTTAGCATAATTCAAGATTCATCTATGTTGTGCATATCTAGTTTATTTCTTTTTATTGATGAGTAGTGTTCCATTTATGAGTGTATCACAGTTTATGAATCCCTTCATCAGGTAAGGACCATTTTTGTTGTTTCCACTCTTTGGTGATTAAGTTTAAAGCCTATATAAACTTTTGTGTATAGATTTTGTGTGGATGTAGGTTTTTATTCCACCTCGGTAAGGGACACAGATTGTTGAGTCATATAATTATAAGTATGTGTTTAATTTTATAAGAAAATGGACAAAATTAACTAGAATGAGATAATTGAGGCAACTAGGTCCAAAATTTTAGAAGGCATTTATTCTCAAGCTCAAGTGCAAGTGTAGAGCAGTCCAGGCACCGAATTTACCTCAGCCACTCCTGGCCCTGCTTATTTTCCTTCTGTATATATTCTTTGGTGACATGTCTATTGAATCTTTCACTTTTTTTTCTTTCTTATTGAGTATTAAGAGGTGTGTGTGTATTTATATTTAAACAGCCCTGGCCGGTTTGGCCCAGCGGTAGAGCATCAGCTCACGGACCGAAGAGTGGTGGGTTTGATTCTGGTCAAGGGCATGTACCTTGGTTATGTTCAGTCCCGGGCCCTGATCGGGACTGTGCAGGAGGCAACCAATCGATGTGTCTCTCTCACGTCGATGTTTCTCTCTCTCTCTCCCACTCTGTCTGAAGATGGAAATGGAAGAAGTATCCTTGGGTGAGGATTTAAAAAAAATTATCTTTATTGTTGACAGTATTACAGATGTCCCCCCTCTTTTCTCCCACTGACCATCTCCACCCTGCTCCCAACCCCTCCCCCCACAGACCTTCAACACAATATTGTCTGTGGCTATTGATTATGCATATATGCAAATAAGTTCTTTGGTTAATCTCTTCCAGCCCCTCTCCCCACTCTGTCTGAGGTTTGTCAGTCTATTCCCTGCTTCCATGTCTCTTGATCTTTTTTTCCCCAATTATTTTGGGTATATATCATATGATCCAGCAATCACATGGTAATTGTGTTTTTAATTTTTTGAAGAACCACCATACTATTTTCCATAGTGGCTATATACTTTTACATTCCTACCAACAGTGAACAAGAATTCCAATTTCTCCACATTGTCAGCAATAGTTTTTTAAAAAATATGTATTTATTCATCATATTGTTGAAAGTACTACAGATGTTCCCACTTTTTTCCCTTCATTGATCCCCTCCTTTCTTTTTTTTCTTTTTTTTTAAATGTGCCTCTTTTATTTTATTTTATTTTATTTTATTTTTTTATTTTATTTTATTTTTTTATCCTCACCCGAGGATATTTTCCATTTTTTTTGTACAGATAGAGTGGGAGGGAGAGAGAGAGGAAGGGACAGAGAGAGAGAAACATCGACGTGAAGGGACACATCGAGTGGCTGCCACCCGCATGACCAACCAGGGCCGGGGACAAACTGCAACCAAAGTATGTGCCCTTAGCGGGAACCGAACCTGGGTCTCTCGGGACCGCAGGCCGACACTCTAACCGCTGAGCCAAACCGGCCAAGGCTGATCCCCTCCTTTCTACTCCCACCCCTTTCTTGCTTTCCCCAAACTATTGTCTGTGTCACTGGGTTGTGCATATATGCATATAAGTTCTTCATTTTATATCTTCTCAACTCCTCCCATCCCCCTTCCCTCTGAGGTTTATCAGTCTGTTCCCTACTTTCATGTCTCTGGATCTGTTTTGTTCGTCAGTTTATTTTGTTCATTGGATTCCCCATATAAGTGAGATCATGTGATATTTGTCTTTGGTTGGTTTATTTTGCTTAGCATAATACTCTCAGGTAACCTCCATGCTGTCTCAAAGGATAAGAGAGCCTTCTTTTTCACAGTTGCATAGTATTCTATTGTGTAAATGTACCACAGCTTTTTTATCCACTCATCTACTGGTGGGCATTTGGGCTGTTTCCAGATCTTAGCTATTGTAAATAGTGCTGTTCTGAACATAGGGGTGCATATATTCTTTCTGATTGGTGTTTTCTAAGGATATATTCCTAGAAGTGGAATCATTGGGTCAAATGGCAGTTCCACTTTTAATTTTTTGAGGAAACTCCATTCTGTTTTCCACAGTGGTTATACCAGTCTGCATTTCTACCAGCAGGGTACAAGGGTTCCTTTTTCTCTACATCCTAGCCAACACTGATACAGGTCCTTTATCAGATGTGAGTTTTGCAAAAAAAGAAAAATTATCTCCCAGTCTATGGTTTATCTTTTTTTTTTCCTTTCAGTTGTGTTTTTTGAAGAGCCTAAGTTCTTAATTTTGTTGCTGTTGCTAATTTAGAAGATGCCATCTTGGCCAGTTTAGGGGGAGAATGACCCCCCAGATAGAAACAAGAGCTTTACTTTAAACTCTCCAAAAGGAGCAAATGAGTATGTTGCTAGGAGTTAGGTTTGTTTAGATATTCTCTTTCTAATCAGGCCATTAAGCTCTGTTATAGCATAAAATAACCCAAAAGAAGATACCTTTTTTTAATGGGTGAGAACCTAAAGAGGTTTCTCAAATTTTTTAAAAGTTGAGGTTTTGTTCAGTTTTATCTCATTTCACTCCTCCCCTTTGTTTTTATAGAATTTTAAAACTTTATTTCAGTTATTTTATTTGTTATACTTGAAATATAATTATACATATTTTATTTAACAATGTGTAGGATTAATATCATATCCCTCTATTTTTTAAACAATATGAGGATTCAAGAACAGTTTGTCATATTTCCCTTCCCAATTACATATATATTGTTTTAATCCTCACTTGAGGATATTTTTCCATTTTTGTTCAGATAGAGTGGGAGGGAGAGAGGACGAGAGAGAGAGAGAGAGAGAGAGAGAGAGAGAGAGGGAGAGAGAGAGAGAGAAACATCGACTTGAGAGGGACACATCTACTGGTTGCCTCCCACACGACCCCAATCAGGGCTGGGGACAAACCGCAACCAAGGTATGTGCCCCTGACCAGAATCGAACCTGCGACTCATTGGTCCACAGGCGATGTTCTAACCTGTGAGCCAAACTGGGCCCCAATTACATATTTTATCCTATAATATTTCAATTATTTTGTTTTGATAATATTTGTTTGGATATACCCATATGTAAGATTTATTTGCTCAGCTTTCCTTTTTGAACTTCATACTTCCATTGGGCCTATTTTCCTTCTTCTTTAAGTGTATCCTTTAGAAGTTCCTTTAGAGCAGATATCTTGGAGGTAACTTATTTATACATGTATCTATTTTCTTTCTTCAAAGATTATTTTGCTGGGTGCACAATTCTAGATTGATAGCTATCTTATTTTAATTAGTACATTGTTGCCTTGGCTTCTATTTTTCTGGTGAGCAATCTTCAGTGATTTACTTTTCTTTCCTTTTTATTAATGTCAGAAAATTAATATGATTCAAAACAGTAGATGATATGTCCTTTATCACTGCTTTCCAGATCTTCTCTTTGTCCTTGTTATTCTGTAATTACAATGTGGGTGGCTATGAATTATTTTTATTTATTCTGTTAGGTATATATTTATGTTGTGCTTCTTGGATCTGTGGATCCATAGATTATATCAGTTTTAAAAAATTCTCAGCCACTATGTTTAAAGATAGTTCTATCTTTCTGTTTCCTTCTGGGACTCCAGTTTGACATATGCTAGATCAGGGCCTGGCAAACTTTCTGCAGAGGGCTTCGCAAGCCACACACAGTCTCTTCGCATATTCTTTGTTGTTGTTTTATTTAAGCAATACAAGCCCATTCTTAGCTCACAAAAGGATACATGCTTAGCAGAAAAATATACCAGATTTTCTTTTTCTCTTTTCCATGGCTCTTAAACACTCATATTTTTCATATCCTTATCTCTTTGCAGCACTCAGTGTAAAATCTCTTTATTTAATCTTCCAGTTGACTAATTCTCTCTACAATTCGAATGCTGTATTCTGGATTCAACAACTATATATTTTTATTCCAAATATTTGATTTAAAAAAAATTGTCATCTACTAGCCAGACAGTTTTATCGACTAAGGTTAATTGTTTTTCTCCATAAGGATTTGTGCTTAAAGTGGAAGCCTCCATCACAGCTTTCCCATCTTACTACTGTTCCAAATTTTTATCTTCCCTCTGCTGGTTGCCACAGAAATCAGCCTCAAGTTCACTTCCTCTATCTCTCCTTCCTGATTGCAAGCTTCTTATAGGTAGGCTCACTGCTGACTGGCTCCTCACTACTCTGAACCAGCTCCTGCCTCTGCAGCTTGGCTCTGGGCTGTCCTGTGCACCCTGACCCAAGCTCCTGGATGCTGCCATACTGTTTTCCAAGCCAAAGCTACTAGTTGCAGTAGCTCAGGCCCTAGTTAGCTCCAGGATCAGCCCATATTTGTTTGTTGATATATTTGTTTTGGGAGGGGATAGAGGTCATTGGAGACTTCTGCTATGACTTGTAAGAACAAAGCTACTACAAAAAGTGTGTATTATCTAGGATATAGTTTCTGTGTGAGCTGGTAGGTTAATTGGACCATCCAATCAATTATAATGCTAGAGCATAAATCCTATGTTAGTTTTCTATTTTGAAAAAACTTTATTCAAAAAGTCCTTCTTTCACAAACATTGATTATTGAATACGGAAGAGATGACAATATATTTTAGAATCTATTCTTAAAAGAAGATTTATTTTTAATTAATTGTACTTGGAGGCTCCTTTTTTGTATACATTTTTACTTTCTGTAGTGTTTTTATTAAAAATTCACTGGCATTTTACCTGATGCCATTACTAAGATAATCATTATTTCTGTAAAAGTAATGAGTAACATTATAGTATATTATGAACATTACTGTATCCCAGCAATGAATTTGATATATACATTTTTATGTATAATAAATGTATTAATTTTCTCAATTCAGGAAAATGTCTGAACAGAAGGAGGAAGAAGAAGTTGATACTCAGGATACTCTTGATCCCGATGCCGCAGAAGAAAGTGATGGCGTTCATGAGAGTGTCAATATTCCAGTTACCTCAGAAGAGCTTCCAGAGTCAGATCAAAGTGAAGACAATGACTCTGCACTAGATCCGCCGGGCGATGACCCCGAAACAGGAGCTAAGGGGCAGAGTGACCGGAGCTCTTCAAGCCTGGATTCGAACGAAGAACAACCCATGGAATTTGATAATGTAACACAGTTAACCAAACAGTATTCAGATGATTATAATCTGACATTTCTGGATAAAATAAAGTCTATAAAGGAATCTCTGAAATCATCAATGATACATCCGTCAGCAACAGGTATTACCTTGGGAAGATAAGATAGTTCTTATCCTCATTTGAAGACCAGTTGCTTTTTCTTGTTTGTTTTTGCTTAAATATTTGTTTTATATTTGATGTTACTTTCCCTTTTCCTATCCACCAAATTTCTCCAACTGCACCACTTGAATCTCTTAACTGGGTGTGGAGCTTCTCCACTCTACAGTATCTACTCTTCCTAAATGAACCAACACCTTTACATTTTAAATGGAGATTTATCTGTTTTTCCCAATAAAGTAGCTTTTAAGAATGTTTAGGGATCTTGAAAAATGGTAGGTAAATTTTTTAGTATAATTTAAATTTTTTTTGTATGCCGATTTGGAATTAATGTACATAGCCCGCACTGGGATGGGAACTGGACTCCAGGTTTCCTAATTTCATATCCACTGCTCACATATCATGTTGCTTTTACATATGTCCAAATTTCTGTGTAGTGTTACCTTATATTTAGCTTCAGAAAAATCATTGTCTTTCCTTATAGTTTAATGTTAAAGCTATAACATTGGAGGCATGAAGGAGTTATTACTGCATTGTTGGTAACAAAGCAGAGGAGAGTAGCAAGAAGGTATTTATACAGAGAACCTTCCTATTTGCATGATTAACTACTACTTCTCCCCTTTGTCCCTAAGTTTTATTTTTTGTTTTTATCCTTACCTGAGGACATTTTTCCATTTTTTGTTCAGATAGAGTGGAAGGGAGAGAGTAGAAGAGAGAGAGAGAGAAACATTGATGTGAAAGGGACACATCGAGTGACTGCCTCCCACACGACCCAACCAGGGCTGGGGACAAACTGCAACCAAGGTATGTGTGTTTCCTTAGCGGGAACTGAACCTGGGTCTCTCTGGACCACAAGCCAATGCTCTAACCGCTGAGCCAAACCAGGGCTGTCCCTAACTTTAGAGAGAGTTTTCATCCATAGAGTGGGAACGTGAGCCCTCAACAACAATAACAGCTTATTTTGGCTGGTAAAACATAGCTTTTGAATCCAGTGGAGTGGTTTACCCTTGTGAGGTATAAAATGAAAAGGAAGAAGAAATCAATCAAGCCCAATTACACCTAGCTGAAGGTGTTATTCTTCAATTTCATATTCAGTGAAAATTTGGGATTCATTTTTTATTTCTGTGATTCCCTGATATTATTGCTTAAGTTGTCTTGGTTCTGAGGCTTAACATACCTCCCTTCCCAAAGCTTAGGAAGTCACTGCTAAGCAAATGTTAAATATATATCATTGAATTTTGAATCCATAAAACAATCAAAATAGCCTTCTGAAAACTGAACATCTGTGAAAGCGTTCTCTATGTTGACAGAGAACTGTGAAAAGAAGTTTTAACAAGCTCGAAGAACCTTCATATTAGCAATGCCTAGCTGAATTTCATCCTGGGATTACTGATGTCTCATTTAGCTTATGAAAACTGTCATGTCAGGTGTCAAGAAATATGTGACTTTTTTGGCTTACGGTGTGTACTCTACATTTTATTTTACTTTTTCCATATTTTTCATTAAAATGTAAAGTACGTAGGATGAAAAAGAAAAAAATTACCCCCTAACAGTTTTTAAACACTGTATTTCCTTCCTATAATTTATGAACAGATAGTCATTTTATAATGACAGTTTTTCCTTATTTTCAACGTGTTTTGATTCCATTTATAAAGTGGGGAATGAGCCACATAATGTCCATTTCTGTGAAAAGTATGTTTGTGCAGTTATTCCAGATATTTGTGTCTAGTTATTTCAGATATTTGCAAAACTGATTTTTCTGCTTTGCATTTTGACAATTATAGACATAAATAAATTCTGGGAAGAATAATGGACTTAGTATGAGATACCTTTTGTAGTTGCAAAGTCAAAGAAAAGTTTCTTTGAAGATTTATTAGTTTTTCTTAATTTCATAAATATGCACTGATTTTGTGATGTATGATATCAATATGTAATCAAAGCACTGGGTCACCCTCTAAGTCTCAGGGTCTCTTTTTAATACTACACAAAGTGCTTAATTTTCTGAGATGTTTTCTATGTCTATATCTGAGTAATATATAGCAGATATTTGTAATTTTTCAAAGCAGTTTAGTTTTATTTTCTATTTTTTTGTGGTATTCTGAGCAAGGAGGTAATCTTGAATGTGCACTGATCTTCATACCAGGGAACAGAAGAGAGATCTGAACTTTGAGCTGACATTGGGGAGCAGGTGTTCATCACTGATGCTAATTTTTGAGATTCTAAATTGGTTTTCAAAGCAAAAGGTTGTAACTGAATGTCACTTCTCCTCATAGAAAATGAAAAATAACTCTTATTATGGAGGTGCGGTGGGGGAATATGGGAGAAGCAACTGCATTTTGTGTGATTAAAAATTGTTCCATATTTTCTATCTGCTTGTGGACTGTAGGTTAACCATGATTTCTTTTGACCATGATTCTTTATTTACTTTTTTAAAATTTACAGTAAAAGTTGTACTTCCTGTGGGCCAGGAAATTATAATGCCTTTCCAAATTGACAGCATTTTAAAACACCTGAAAGATCACTTTTCATACTTATTAAATGTGCCATCTGATGTACTGCAGTTAACATGTGCAGGTAAGTTTGGAAGCTAATAAAATTTATCAAGACATCTTTAGTTTTAATAATTTAATTTACATGTAAATAATCAAGCTCTTTGATTTGTTAAATTGACTATCTTGATATTTACTGTTTGAACATTATATTGTGGTATGCATTGATTCAGCACATTTTTATTGAGGACATACTTTGTTCTTAATACTTTGCTAAGAACTGAAGATATAAAGAAATGTGAAACAAAATCCCTGTTCTCAAGTTGTTTATGGACTAGTAAGGAAGGAGTTGCATGCAGCAGTTACCACATAATGTGTAAGCGTTTTAATGGAGATATGCACAAAAAGCTGTGAGTACAGGGAAGATAGAAACTGGGAAATTCTAGAAAGCTTCTTTTAATAAAAATGATAATACTTGTGCTAAGTCCCAAAGAGGTGGGAAAAATTGGGACTTTTAGGAAGTGATAAGGAGTTTAGTGTGGCTGGAAGAAGACTATTTACGGGGAGTGAGAAAAAATGAGGTTGAAAAAAATAGAGGATGAATTGGCATGTATAGAATAAGAAGAGGGCTGAAAATGGTTTATCTATTAGTCTTCTATACATTAAGGTTAATTCACCTTCTCTTGATGTTCAATTTTATTTATATTTTGTGAGTAATATTGAGTAGCTCCTTTGATATTAGCTTGTGACATGAGAGGGTGTCTTTGTGATGGAGTTAACCAGACTAACATAGCTAAATAAATATTTCTATAGATTGTTTGCACAAATCCTAATATTTTAACTTAGAAATTTCTGGTATTTACTTATAAAGATGCCACAATAACATTTGGGAAAATCCTAAGCACTATAAAGTAGTAAACCATACCTATCAAGTTCCTTCTTGCCAAATCATAGAAAAACAATCAATTCAATTTCAAAATTGTTTTCTCAAACTATTATAATCAATATATTCTAATAGTGTAATATTTGTTTACTCAAACAACTGATCATTAAAGCTTGGTTGGGGAAACAAAGCTGAAAGTTAAATTGTGATAATGATACTGATGATGATCATGTTGATGATGATGGTTACTTTATTGAGCATTTATTATGTGATAGTCCTACAGAATTTTCCACCTACAATCACATTATCGTTCAATTCATACAACACTTTAGTATGAAATTTTTTTTTTTTAAAGAAGAAAACTAAAACTCAGGGAACTTGTACAAATTCACATAGCTAATAAGCAGCAGAGTCTAAACTTAAATATAGGTACAACTCCAGAAAGAGAACTTGAAACTCTGTGGTATAAACTATAAGGTGAAATTCAAATCTGGAGGAGAGCACTTTGAGACTGGAGTAGTTGGCCATTGGTACCCAAGAATCTCTTTCTTTGCACTCATGATCTTTTTTCTTTATGTGTAAGGACTCAACATCACCACTGGGTAACAGGCTTATGTCAGTAGCAATAATAATGAAAGAGTTGGATTCTATGTCAACCAACCACCCTCTAAGATAGGTGCTTTCTTCTGGTGTTAGAACTGGAATTCAAGTTTGGTGGGACTAAGCCTACAATAGAAACAAGGAGAGTAATGAAGGAGTCTCTGGGAATCTGTATTAGGTTCCTATGACTGTTGTAACAATTAACCTCAAATTTAGTAGCTTGGCAACACATTATTTCTCTTACAGCTCTGGAGGCCAGAAATCCTATCGGTTTCACTCAAAGTCAAGGTGTCAGCAGGGCTGTTCTAAAGGTTCTGCAAAGAATCTGCTTCCTTGTCTTTTCCAGCTTCTAAGTTGCATTCATTAGTTCATGGCCCATTCCTCCATCATCAAAGCCAGCAGCATAGCCTCTTCATATCTTTCTGCTCTGTGAAATCATCTTCACCTCTGTAATCAAATCTCCCTTTTGCTTTCTCTCATAAAACCACTTGTGATTATAGTTAGGGCCCACCCAGATAATCCAGGATAATCTCTCCATCACAAATTTCTTTGAAACATCTGCAGTCACTTTTTCCATATAAGGTAGCATTCCTAGGTTCTGGGGAAGGACATGAATATATTTTGGGACCATTATTTCAACCTATCACAAAACCCATAATATTCATGTTAATTTTTTAAATTAAGAATTTAGGGTGACATATTGAAACTCAAAGACTTTTGTGCTTTTTGGGACTATGTATGGTGCCAGGCGGGTACTGGAAATATCAGGGGGAATATTTTGTAAAGCATTTCATTGTCTAACCATTATGTTGTACACATGAAACTACTACAAAATAATATTGAATGTAAACTATAATTTAAAATAAATTAAAATTATGCATTGATAATTATAAAACATTTTTTAAAAGTCTAGTGGCATTTAATGCATTTCTAAGACCGAATATACCAAAACCTCATATACTCAACTTATTAATTATAATTAGCAAGACCATACACTGGAAAATTGGTATGGGTTCTATCAATAAAGTTTCCATGATACAAAACAGCAGCCAATAACATTATACATATCTTTGTATGCCTTAAAATAGAGAAATAAAATTAGAGTCAATTTATAGAATTAACCAATGGGGAAAAGGTAGAAGTTGAAGTAATACGACATAAAAATAAAGTGGTGTACACTTTTTCAAGCACAAAACTGAGGCGTAGCTCCACCTTGGCATGAATTAATTTATATGAGCCTCTGATTATAGAAACAGAGAAAGGGAGGGATTTATTTTCTGCTGGAGAGAGGGGTGAGTATTAAAGTAATCAAATTTTCCCTAACGAGATATGCCCTGTGCTTACATATAACACACTGTCATTTTTTAGAGAGTTTTTAGAATATAATTTTGCTCATATTATAGAATAGGTTACTTTAATTTTTAAATGTTTACAGAGTTGTATGGTTATTATTAATTTGCATTTCTGATGAGTTAAGAGTTGTAGCTTTACTTATAATGCTGAATTTTTACTCAGGAGTACCACCTAAACTTTTCCCATTGTGGAGTTTTCTGTACTAACATTATAGTAAGAGGTGGACACCATTAATACTTGGTACTTGATACCAATCAATATCTATCTATCTATCTATCTATCTATCTATCTATCTATCTATCTATCTATCTATCATCTATCTATCTATCATCTATCTATCATCTCCCAAGGACATTTTTACATTTATCTTCAGATAGAGCTGAAGGGAGAGAGGGAGGAAGAGAGAGAGAGAAACATCAATTTGAGAGAGACACATGGAGTGGTTGCCACCCACATGACCCCAGCCAGGGCCAAGGACAAACTGCATCCAAGGTATGTGCCCTTAGCGGGAACCGAACCCCTGCCACTCTGGTCCGCGGGCCGAGGCTCTGACCACTGAGCCAAACCGGCCATGGTGCAAACAGTATTTTGATAATTAATCAACGTGTGTCTATATAAGCACCTCTGATGTTCTCTATCCCATTAAAATGAGTACATATAGTCATTTCTTTGTCATAACACTTCTTGTAATTTTATCTCATTTTTAGGAATGATTCTTAAAAATAATGAGACTCTGCTACAACATGGCGTGAAGGCTCAGGATATTGTACAGGTGGAAATCTTTTCTACTCTTCCAGATCTATATCCAATCAAAAGAATAAATAGATTAAGTGATAACTATCAATTAATACCTGTCAGAGTACAAACAGGTTAGTTATTTATGTCTTTTCGTAAAGTATTTTAGAGTTGTTTTGTAGCTGAACTTTCATTCAGTCTTGGTTTTATCTTCTCAGGCATTGGTCAGTACCAGCAGGTAGCTGTTGAGGTGATAAAATCTGACTTTCACAAACCATTTCTTGGTGGATTCAGAAATAAACTAACAGGAATAGAATATCACAATGCTGGAACACAAACTGTACCTAGAAAGATTTCTGAAAAAGCCAATGTATTTTGTAGGGATACCCAGGTAATATTTTTATTTTTCCTTATAGGTTTCTGAAGCTACAGAATCAGCAATGTTATACTGTATACCTCTCTAAACTAAAAATGTTCTAAGGAATATGTAGCTATTAAAATAATGAAAGGAAATTAAATATGTAGGAAAATATACTCTACTCATTTATGTGTATATAGAGTAGATATTTATTTAAAATTTTTGTTTTTATTTTAGACAGTTTTTCAGAGAAAAAAGCTCCTACAAACTGTGAATACTACATCCACACAGATGACTAAAATTGGTGTGTATGTATCAAATATGACTGATAAACTGATAACACCAGGAAAGTATTTTACAGCAGCAGAGTATCATGCTCAAAGGTTAGAGGCGGTAAGATAACTTTTATTATGGGTGAATACTAAAAATTAAATATGTGAGTCAGTTGTTCTGTGTATATCTATCTTGCTTTGCCTAAACCATACTAACTTGCAGAAGAACCCATATGAGTGTTGTTAAAGAAAAAATTGCAATACGTATTAAAGATGGTAAGGTAGACTTGATTCCAGAGGGGCTACTGCAATGGAGTTTTGTAGTAGGGAAGAGATTAGGTTTAACTCTGAATACTACAGAAAAAGTGGGAATTTATAGCCAAGGAGCAGGGTAGTGGGCAGTGAATAGAAAATTACTAAGACAAAACATCAGGAATACAGGGAATTCTGGCTAAAGCAACCTAACAGAACTTTTGCCAGAGTGATTAGGCATCACCTAGGGGATGGTGGAAGAGGAGGTACCTGATCAAATATCAAGGGTGATCAGATATTGAGGGTGGGGCTTCTGATTTAACTGAGTTAGCAGGATTCTTAATAAAACTGAACAATACAAAGATGAACACAGAAACCCAAAGGTCAAGACATACTTAAAAAAGAGCTCAGAGGAGCCTGATTAGAATTTGGTTAAGGAGAAAATCTTTGTCAGTGTGAGTCATGTTTTATTGATAGTAAAAGCACTTTTTATCATTAATCTGTCCCCATTATAAAGAACCAGAATCCTGAATACTCCTAATCCTCCCCTTTTCCTTAGGGAATCCCTGGGACTTGGTATGTTACCTTTGGCCATTTATTAGCTTTGTACCCTGTATCCCTTGACCTTAATCCCTGTGACAGTAGAATCACCTAGGAAGGGTTCCAGACTGATTGAAACCAAATGATATTAAAGTCTTTTTTTCTCTAATATTATTATAGCCACTCCAACTCTTTTATGTATGTTGCATCGTCTTTCTTCATCCTGTTATTTTTAACCTATTTGAGAGTTTAAATGTAGAGTATATCTCTTGTAGACAGCATATAATTGGATCTTATCTTTTTATCCAATCTAGCAATCTTTGCCTTTTGACTGGAGTGTTTAATACATTCATATTTAGTGTAATTATTGATAAGGTTGAATTGTACCAGCGATTTTGCTATTGTTTTCTGTAGTTATGTGTCTTTCTGGTTCCTTTGTCTTCCTTTACTGCTTTTTATGTTAACTATTTTCTAGTGTGCCATTTTTATTATTTAATTGTTTTTTTTTAATTTAAAAACTTTATTTACAGTAAAATATTATCAGTAAATTATTTTTGGTATCCTTTATCAAAAAAGTGTACAGTTAAAAGATTTTGCATATATAAACAGAGTTATTCAACCATTATCACAATATTAGAACAGTCTCATCATCCCAGAAGAAATTCTGCACCCAATAGCAATCCTATTTCTCTCCAACTGTTTCTGCCCTAGGCAACCACTAATCTACTTTATGCCTCTATTGAGTTGCCTATTCTGGATATTTCATACACATGCAATTATATAATATGTAGTCTCTGTGACTAACTTTTTGTTGTTGTTAATCCTCACGTGAGGATATTTTTTCCACTGAGTTTTAGAGAGTGGAAGGAGGGAGGTAGGGAGGAGAAGAGGAAGAGGAAGAGGGGTGGGGGGAGAGAGACAGAGAGAGACAGAGAGAGAGAGAGATATGAGATACATTGATTGGTTGCCTCCCGCATGCGCCCCAACCAAGGCCAAGGAATGAACTCGCAACCCTTTGGTACAGGGGCTGATGCTCTAACCACTGACCCACACCAGCCAGGGCATGACTAAGTTTTTAAAATTAGAACAACATTTTCAAGGCTCATTCACATTGTAACATGTATTAGTACTTTATTTCTTTATATTGCAGAATAATATTACACTGCATATACCCAATTGTATGTGTCTATTATATATATTGAAATGCATATATCATGTTTTATTTGTTCATTTATCAGTTGATGGTCATTTGGGCTATTTATTAGGAATAAAGCTGCTATAGAATTCCTGTACATTTTTTTATGTGGACATATGTTTTTATTTCTCTTCTGTATGTGCCCAGGAGTATGATTACTAGATTATATGGTAAGTCTATGATTAAACTCTTTGAGGAACTGCCAAACTGTTTTCCAAAGCAACTACCATTTTGTGTCCTCCCAGGAGTGTATGAGGATTCCAATTTCTCCACATCCTTATAACATTTGTTACTGTTTTTTGATTATAGCCATCCTAATTAGTGTGAAGTAGTATCTTATTGTGCTTTTGATTTGTATACCCTGATGGCAAATTATATTGAATGTCTTTCCACGCTCTTCTTAGCAACTTGCATATAGTCTTAGGAGAAATGTATACACAGATCCTTTACCCATTTTAATTTTTTTTATTATTGCTTTACTGTTTTTTGAAATTATTTTTGAGTTATTTTCTAAGTGGTTGATTTAAGTGTAATCTAGGCATTATAATGTACATCTCTATTTATAACAATATACTTCACATTAAAACTAGTTGAGATCCAACAAAATACTGAAATCTTGCTTCAATAAAACTCCAATTTCATCCTTTTTTTCTGTGCTATCATTGTACAAATTTGTACATTCTTTTTATATTCTAAGTTTTATAATTTTTAAATAATTATTGTTTTATAGAGTTGTATATTAAATAAGTTAAGAGTGGAAAAGAAGATAATATATTTATGCAGTCTTTTATATTTAACTACAAAATTACCTTTTCTGGTGCTATTTATATCTTCATTTGGGTTAAAATTAACATCTAGCATCACTTTCTTTCAGTTTGAAGAACTCTCTTAAGAGTGTCTTCATGGTGTCATGAAGGCCTTGGAGTGTCTGTTCATTTACTTTTTTCCTTCTTTTTCACAGTACATAATTTCTAATGTTCTATCATCAAGTTCATTTTTTCTATTTCTTTGCAAAGCTTTATTTATTACTTAATAAATTTTAAAATTATAGTTGATATACAATATTATATTGCTTTCAGGCATACAACATAGTGATTAGACACTTACATAACTTAAGAAGTGATAGCTCTGATAAGTGTAGTACCCATCTGACACCATACATAGTTATTACAATTTTATTGACTATATTACCTATGCTGTACTTTACAACTCCATGACTTCTGTTTTTCATCATCACTTGAGGGTATGTTTTCACTGATTTTAGAGAGAGAAGAAGGGGGGGGGGGACATTAATGTGAAAGAAAAACATCAACTGGTGCTTCCTGTATGTACCCCAACTAGGGAGAAAACCCACAACCTGGGTACGTGCCTTGATGAGAATCAAACTTGCAACCTTTGATGCATGAGACAATGCTCTAACCAACTGAGCCACCCAGTCAGGGCCATAACTATTTATAACTGACAATTTTCACATTTTAATCCCTCTCCATTTTTCACCCATCCTCCCAACCTCCCCTCCCTTCTGGCAACCATCAATTTGTCTTCTGTATCTGTGAATTTGTTTTGGTTTTATTTGTTTGTTTCTTTTTTAGAATCTACATATCAGTGAAATCATATGCCATTTGTCTTTCTATATCTGACTTATTTCACTCAGCACAATATCCTCTAGGTCCATCCATGTTGTTGCAAATGGTAAGATTTCATTCTTTTTTTGGCTGAGTAATATTCCATTATAAATATATACCACCTCTTTTTTATCCATTTGTCTGTTGATGGATACTTAGGTTGCTTCCATATCTTGGATATTATAAATAATAATGCAGTAAATATAGGGTGCATATACCTTTTTGAATTAGTGTTTTGGATTTCTTTGGATAAATACCCAGCAGTGGAATTGTTGGGTCATGTGGTAGTTTTATTTTTAATATTTTGAGGATCTTCCTTATGGATTTCCTTAGTGGCTGTTCCATTTTACAATCCCCCAGTAGTGCATGAGGGTTTCCTGTTCACCACATCCTTGCTGGTATTACTTGTTTGTTGATTTATTGATGATAACCACTCTGACTGGTTTGTTGTGAGGTGATATCTCATTGTGTTTTTAACTTACATTTCTATGATAATTAGTGACATTGAGCCTATTTTCTTATGTCTATTGCCCATCTGTATGTCCTCTTTGGAGAAATGTCTGTTCAGTTCCTCAGGTTTTTTTTAAATCAGACTGTGTGTGTGTTTTGTTTGTTTTTTTTGGTGTTAAGTTGTATGAGTTTCTTATATATTTTGGATATTAACCCCTTATTGGATGTAATGTCTTCTCCTATTCAGTAGGTTGTATTTCTGTTTTGTTGTAGATTTTCTTCACTGTGCAAGGACTCTTTAGTTTAGTCCCATTTGTTTATTTTTTCTTTTTTTTCCATTGCCTAAGGAGACCATATACATAATATGGTCTAGGATTTTTATGGTTTTGGATCTTACATATAAGTCTTTAATCTATTTTGAGTTTATTCTTTCTTTAAATTAATTAATTAATTAATTAATTAATTTTTGTTACAGATGTTTGTACTCCCCCCCCACTAATTCCCCCCTTCCCCTCCCTCCCTGCCCTGACCCCAGCTTTGTTGTCCATGTCCATTATTCATGCATACATGCATATAAGTTCTGTGTTTTATCTCTCCCCCATCACCCCCTCTTCTGGGGATTGTCAGTCTATACCCCACTTCCACGTCTCTGGTACTATCCCATTCCTCAGACTGTTATGTTCATTATATTCCACAAATAAGTGAGTTCATGATACTTGTTTTTCTGTGTTTGGCTTGTTTCGCTTAGGATAATACTTTCCAGGTCCCTCCATGTAGTCTAAAAGGATAACAGATCTTTCTTTCTTACAGCTGCATAGTACTCCATTGTGTATATGTACCAAAGCTTTTTTATCCATTCGTCTACTGATAGACACTTGGGCTGTTTCCAGATCTTAGCGATTGTAAATAGTGCTGCTACAAACATGGGGGTACATATATTCTTTCTGATTGGTGTTTCAGGCTTCTTAGGATATATTCCTAGAAGTGGGATCACTGGGTCAAATGGAAGTTCAATTTTTAATTTTTTGAGGTAACACCATATTGTTTTCCATAGTGGCT